TCCAGTGCTTCAGTTAGCATATTAATATATGTATAATAGATATCATATCGTGTTCTCAAATAGTTCTACATGGCATCCACGTAATTGCAAGAAGGTCAAATTTGTTACATTCCTCTAGGGTTCCAAATCCAAACAAGCAAAAAGTTCAAAGGTGGTCCAATTATCTTTTTGATGCCATCAGAACATCTACGGTACAAATGAGTTACAGAAAGTTGGCTTGCAATATTAATACGATCCTATTATTAAAGAACATTTAAGAAAAATTAATACAAAAGGAAATTCATAATCATTATTTGGGAAAAAACATTCAAAATTTTGGGAATTCTGGGATGGAAAGACGCATCAGCTATCTAATTTCATTTCTGACGTTTTGATTCAACTGGATGATACACCTGCAGGTAATTTTGCCAGTCGACTCGCAAATGTGATTCAAAACCTTACTTATTAATGTAATGTATTGCTTAACGTTGAATTTTTGATTTGTACACAGATTCGGAATCAACCACCGCCGAAGAATAATGGTGCAATCGCGTTTTATTCTGATGAAGATAGTGGCGAAGAACACGACGACGGCAATGATTCTGACGATTAGATGTTTTTTTTTTTAATGAATCAATGATTCTTTTTTTTTCTGTTATAAAATAATTAAAATTATTTTTTCTTGTATAAAATAACTGATATCTATATAATAACTCATATATAACAATTACAATTATTAAGAAACAATTAAAATTATTTTTTTATATAAAATAAATGATATGTATTGAGAAAAGGCGTACTAATGCGCCCAGTTACCGTTCTCACATATATCGACTGCTGACTGACGTGGTCCTATCATAAATGAGTCTGACTGTCTCCTTTATTAACTTTATAGTTTTAATTAATGTTTTGGAGAATTTCAGCTTTGAGAAATAACTATGACACACGTCATTTTTTTGACAGGTATGAAGTAGCGCTGACGCCACGTCTTACGTGTCCCTATATTTTGCTGTCTGACTGTTGGATTCTTGTTTTATATTATATTTGCTCGTTTTCTATAAATTTTGAGCTTTGAGAAAACAGTTTAGAGACGTTAATTAATATTACATCTTTGCGAGCGTCCCAGCGCCAGGTGTCCCGGTACCGAAAGTGCTTGACCTTAAAGTTACTCTCCATCACTAAAAAGTAACCTAATCTCAAAAATTAGCTTTGAGAAAACTCTTGCCATTTTGGACGCCAGCTCTTGGACTAAAAGTCATTGTTAAAACAGAAAATACAGAATTCTATAGAAATGTTCGTAATTTGATTTCTACTGATTATGTATTATAGAACGTTATTCACAAACTGAATGTATTATTTTTTGCCCTGTAATCAAAAATAGATTTACCAGTAGATATCGACCTTTTGCAATTAGACGATTTAAAAAAAAATTAATTTATATTTAGCATAACCATTTTGCTACATTATGTTATGAACATGAAAAATACACTTTCGGAAATATTAGAAAAATCCTCCCCTAAAATTATGAAAATCTTCAATCATAATTCATAAACCAGTGAATTGAATATCTTAATTTACTATCAATATTAATAGTTCAATCATAAATAATCAATTACCACAATGTACAGGGTGGGCAAATTTCGATGTTTGTATAGGGTAACTCGGTAACTCGATCTCATTCTTTGAGATAAATTCCCTGGCGAAAACAAAAATTTGGTATCGTCTTCTGTTTTCGAGTTATAAACAAAAGTTCGATTTTTCGAGTTTTAGACACATGTCAATATCTTGGTTATTTGTAAAGTTATGAAAAAACAACTTTTGCATTCTTGAGGCACTTTTTTCTGTATAATACAGTGGTGTCGAGAAAGTTTAAAAAAGGTGCAATTTTGGTGTTATGGTATAAAGTTTTAATTTTTTAAATAGGGATCATAGTTGGCTATGGTTTAGTTAAAAAGGATTTTTTTTCTTTTTTCAAACTATATATCATATGTGGGGTCGCTTTTAATGTGTAAGTATTTAATAGCGAAAATAATCTTTTAGTAGATTACTTTTTGCATTTTCTTATATTTATTCCAATAAATTATATATGATATACTGAAATGCTTCATTCAAAGTAATAACAATTGTGATATTGCATCCGAAATATGTTTCAATCGCTATCCAGAAAGAAGACAACATAAAAAAAGATATTTTTAAGAGGTTAAAAGAAAATCTCATTAATTGTGGGCCCTTCATCAAGCCAAGACCAAAATCAGATATTTATATATAATTTTATAATACATTGCAATAACAAAATAAAAATCAAATTAAAGTAAATGTTCAAACTGATGCCCGTTATGTTTGATACATAAATTACACCTCTCCATAATAGTCTGAACTCCATTATAAATATAAATATTTGAAATGGAATTCACAGTCTATAAAATTTTGTTTGAGTTCATTTATGTCGGTTCTGGTTTTCTTGTATAATTTGTCTTTAATGTGGCACCAAAAGAAAAAATTAAGTTAGTCAGGTGATCGTGGTGGCCACCTCACTGGTCTGTTACTTTCTATCCAGTTATTTCCAAAATTAGTATTTAATAATTCTGCAACGGTCCTGATATTATGAGGTGGTGCACCATTTTGTTAGAAGAATTGATTTCTTGCCTCAATTATGGGTAGATTGTCCATATTTTCTTCAATAATTTTGTGGTTTAAGATTTCGTAGTACCGTTGGCCACTTAGATATATGTGATATGTTAAAACACGATTGTTACGTAGATCACACCAAACACTAAAACCAAAACGTCTCTGAGATCGCACGTCAACGGTACGGTGAGGGTTCATATCAGACCAATAGTGCTCGTTATGCCTCTTCAAAATTCCTGCGCTTCTAATGTAGGCTTCATCTGTCCAAACTACATTTCTAGAGAAGAATGGATCTTGTTGATTTTTTTGACGTTTCCATATGCAAAACTCCAATCGTCGCTGAAGATCGGTTGGTTACAGGTGATGTTGATTCCTTATTGTATAAAGCCTGAATTTGTGTGTCTTCAAAATACCCAAAGCTCGACGTCTTGAAATCCCAGAATCAGCTTCAATTTGACGACTTGAAATTGAAGAATTTGCAACCGCAATTCCAATTACAGTAATATAAGTTTCTTCAGCATCTTCAATGCTGTAATTTTTTGGTCTTGGCTTGTTGAAGGACTCACATAGTTAAAAATTAAAAGAATTCGAATGCCTATCAAAAAATAAAAACAGGCAAAAAATCACATTTTCAGTGAATAACATGCTGAATTTAGTGCAATCGAAATGACGAATATTGATATTCTAGATTATACCTAGTTTTTTCCCCGCACAGAATAATGTAGTAAAACTGAGTAGCTACAAATAGAATATTTCGAATAATAAATAATTAAACAAAATCTCGAATGAATTGCAATAAATAATTATCAAATGAGGATATTTCAGTTGAGGGTAAAAATGAATGAGATATTGTGTTAATATATTCTTAAATCACAAATAAATTGACAGCAGGACAGGGACGGATGTAAGATGTAAAATGACGAAATTGCAAAATTCACCATCCAATGCTTTTGTTATGTTTTAAAGCTAGTTACAGCAACAAATTATTATACTCAAGTATTTCTATATTTACAGACGAGACATAATGATTGAAAGAAGAAAAAAGATACAATTTCGGGAAATTTTTTTTATTGCATTTCTGGACGAATCTCGACGAATTATAATGAAAAAACATAACTTTATGGGGAAAAAATTGTCTGCATGTCTATAATATCGCGATAGCATACCATTCGCAGACCGGTTTCCAATGTTGCCAACCTGTTAAAGACAATAACCTTCAAGAGAGACTTTTAAATCCTTCACATTCCTTCACATTTCTATGCAATAAGCAATACCCATCACTGACGAAATATCACGTTAATAATCGATAGTAAACTAAGTGTTATTCGCTTCCCTTCAATCGCTTCTCGCTTACCAGTAGAATTAGTAGGTTCAATTTCTATAGTTCAATATTTCATACTGCGTCGTCTGCGTAGTACGACATGCGCAAATGGCGGCAAATGGTCGCAAAATTGTAATTGCCATGTATTATAAATCTGTTTTTCAGTATTCTCATTTTATCAAATTTGTACTTGTACAGAAGTCTAATAAATTTATTAAATAATTCTACTGATTTTATATTACGATCGCAATTTCTTCTGAAATCCTTCAAATTTTGCAATGAATTCCACACTTCCACTTCAACAGAAAAAAATAATGCTATACTTCGTATTGGAGGACTTCCTTCACAGTTAGTAACACTGGGGTTTCTGATTTTTGTCTTCATCAATGTGAAGTAGGTATATACACAACGACAGTAAGAGAAATTTCAGAATCACTAGACTCTACAATACATTAGATAGCAGAGTATTAATGTGTTGAAGGCATCTCCATCTACCAGTGTCCATCGCAATGTAATGTAAATTGGAAAAACGCCCGACAAGCAATATCTACTCATAATGATGTAATAAAAATTATAATACCAAAGTATTCCAACAGAGAGGGTAAAAAGTTAATTTAATTGGTCCTGCAGAGGGAAAGTTGTAATTTTTGGATATTATATTACATTTATTATTACCTTCTCATAATAAAATATCGAGAAAAATATCTAAGGAGTGACCAATCGTTCTCTAAGCTTGTTAGCATAGATGATTAGCCTCAATGCCCGCGTGTTCTGTGGTGGTCCGTACCATAGTAGAAAGCGCTTACGATACGTTTCTTTACCGTGTCCGTGCTTTACGTGAGATGCTCTTAGCTGTAAAGTTTTTGGAACATCATTAACTTGAGTAGTTAGCCGGTATATTGTTTATAAGTGCAGTTGAAAGTTTAAATACAAATATACCTATTTCATGGTAGTGTTTTTTTAATAAACACCACAGAAATTAGACAACCACCAAATTCAAAGCCAAAGCTGCCTAGAAGGGGGTTAAACTTAGAAAAACATGTACATACAATTATTCTCACCGCATACCCAATGCCGGTGACAGGATTTGAACCCACAGCTAAGATAGATAGATTTATAGTCACGCTGCCATCGCGCGCTCTAACCAACTACGCCGCCAAACCGGCTTTTTTACAAAATTTTAATAAAATCGTTAAGGCAATCTTTCTAAGTTGTGGTTGTATACGTATATATGCGAACTCGAAAGTTTGATATATTTGAAATGCACATTAAACATGTTTATTTAAATCTGCTGTAAAGCTGACCAAATGAGTATATAAATAATGTCAACTAAGTAACTGTTGAACACTGGATTGAACAAATCAATTAGATACTCGCCAAATACAGTGAACGCTGATTCAACTCGAACGGCGTTAAAGGAAAGTAAATGATGTACGTGTAGATTTCTTATGTGGAGTATTGATGACAGTTCTCACTACAGGTGGAGAGGGCATAATCCATACACGTCATTATTTGCTTTCCTTTTAACACCCGTTCAACTTGAAACAACTCTTGCTGTATAATTAAAATCATTATTTCTACTTAGAGAATTGATTTTTAAAAACATTTTTATGTAATAAATTATTATTCTACATGATGCTACTGTGAATGTATACTGAAATTTTGTGTCCCCGCTCTGTGAAATCAAAATTTTTCGCTTCTAAAAATCCAAACATTTTTCTTTATATATATATATATATATATATATATATATATATATATATATATATATATATATATATATATATATATATATATATATATATATATATATATATATATATATTATATATATATATATTATATATATATACGTATATATATATATATATATATATATATATATATATATATATATATATATGTGTATATATATATATGTATATATTATTATTTTTTTTTTTTAAGTGTATGTAATTTAACGAGAAAACAATCCTGTGAAATAAAAGTAAAATTTATATAACATATTTTTTCTGTGAAATAATAATCCAAGAAAATCAAAAGGGAAAATCATCTCTATTAAAGTATTAGCAGTTCCCGATTTTTGTGTATCTGTGCCAAAGTAAAAATGCGACTAAACCATTCTGATCCTGATAAATTACTAGTCCCGTTGAGTTGGCGTGAATGAAAACAAGTTAATCGTCCATTAATTTGATGCGATTTAAGGAGTGTTCAAGTGTTGTAGAAGAGAAAGATCGGTGGTTCTAAGTAACAGGTTGCTGGTTTCGTTGATCTTTACCCTTTCCTGAATCCTTTGAATCCCGGAGCTTTCCCTTTCTTAAGTTTGGGTCTAACTGGATGTTCCCGTGGCGTCGACGGGATCCGACCCCGGCCCAACTTCCTGCTATTGATATGTAAAAGTGTAAACTTTAGTAACTGTAGCCGTGGCGGTCATATTAACCTAGGTCGGGAGGTCGGAATACCCACCACTTGAGTTTTCGACATGACACGATGGGTGTCTGCTCTTTACGTCATACATATTTAGTTCGTTTGACTTTCTTTTGAGAGAAAAGTTGTTTGACCCATTTACAACGATAATTTAAATTGAAAAGAAAATAGACCAACTCAATGTATCTTTTATTGCATACTTGTGTTGTATGACATAGATATGACATGGAACAACAGTTGGTTGTTATATTTGATTCAACACTGTGTTTATCTTGTAGTAACATAGTTGATTATCCTTTATAGTAATGATAATATATTTGCATTAAAATAAAAATTACACTAAATTTGTGAAAATTTTGTCTTTGAAACTGATTCTAAAAATTTATTACATAAAACTGCAATCCAAAAAAAGTTATTTACTCGTAGGTATTAAGCATTATTAATGAACATTCATTTTTTATAGTATGAGTAAATAATTACTCCAGTGTGCCCCACGATAAGGTTTCTTCTAAACTTTCAATTTTAGGATAGAAAGTTATTTTTTATGAACATATGCTGCTTCCTTAAAAAATACAATTACAACCTAATTTTTATTTATATTTTGTTTATAATAAATTTTCCTATCACTAAAACTCCTTTTAAGTTAAAGGTCTTTTTAAAATGTTGTTAATACCGGATGTAAGAAATATAAAATTTTGTATACAGGGAGCCCCAAAAGTTGAAAAACGTGAATGTGAATTAGACTGAGAGTAAAGTACCCTCAGTTTTAATGTCACTGTAAAATGATACATAAAAAAGTTTTTAGAATCACCCAGTAAATAAAAATTTAAAATTTTACCAAGAAAAGAGTGAAATAGGTACGGACTGACATGGAGAAGCTTTCTTAATTCCATCAAGAATGACTTTTTGTCATAGATCCACACATAGGAGTTTCTTGTGTTTTCGACGCATGCAAAAGCATGCGTCGCTAAGTCTACTATTGATGTTATTATACAATTTAAATTGTTTTGTTTAGGTGTTGTATTTACAAAGGCTGGGAATTTTCTAGATTTTAGTATTCGATATTCGTTCGAAAAAAATATTCGAATATTCGAATTATTCGGATATTCGAATATTCGGATTATTCGAATTATTCGAATAGGTAAAATTAGAATGTTTAAAAAAAAACGCAGATTGTGAAGGTAAAACAAATACATGAAAAGTCAATAGTTAAATATTTACATGTTTTCCAAAATTTAAAATTTAATTTTAACCCCTGCCTTTAGTACAGTAAGAATAAGGTCGAGGCGAGAAAGAGATGGAATAGTTTGACTGGGAGTAAAACGTGTCACTAATGTGGTCTATTTATATATTTGGATTTTAGAATAGGTACCTACCTATACCTACTATCTATCTACTTTGGTTGGATGCATACTGCATACCTATTCGTACATAATTTAATAATATATTTTAATATTCAAATTTACTCAAATATAATCGAATATTCGAATACTCGAATATATTCGAGTATTCGAATTATTCGTATTCGATTCTCAGCCTTAGTATTTACCCCGCTCCTCCCGACCTAACAATTACTCCGTAGCTCTCATACGCGGGAATTGTAGGTCGGCAACGGACAGGGTGTCCGGCGAGGGACATATGCTATGTTCATTTTTAATTGTAAAATAAATATTTTTGATTTGATTTGATGTCTATCCGCATCGAATAAATATAAAATATAAAAATATCACCCTGTAAAATTTTGTAGTACAATTTTAAATTAATATTTTTCCAAAACACAAATTAAATTTGTAATTTTGAAAAATATCTGGAACAGCGTTAAAATGGAAAATTATGGTATAAAAATCATTTGGTCTCGGAAATAAAAAAAGTACAGTGGATGCAGTTTTTGAACTAATCACTAATCAGTGATAATGAGCAATATGAATAAACAAAAAAAAATGCTTAACAATATGGACTTGGTATTTAACACAGTATGTCACAAATTCTTAAAACATCCGCACTCTATTCTATACTAGGGATGCGCGATATGGTACGATATTTTCAGATACCGATACTTTTCATTCCGATCCTCAATATTTTGCACCGGTACACAGTTCCCACCATATGAAAAAAATAAAAAAATTCAAGTCAGTATTCTTCATATTTTCTTATCGTTATAACATCTACTATGTCTGAGCCTCAAGGAACTATAAATTAACTACAATTTTAAAATTGATTTCGGTCCTTTTTAGTTAGTAGTAGTAGCTACTTATTTTACTAGGCAAGTAGGCCACAATGGGCCCTTTTACCTAGGGACCTACAGTTTAGCGTGGACTCCGAACCACGGTCCTCGACTGTCAACTAACCCACCGCCTGGGCCTGCCCGCCTGCACCGCTAGCAGAGTGGCAAACCTCCTGGGTAGGTCCTCTTCGACCCTAAACCCGGGCTTGCCTCTCCGCCTGCATCAGGCTAGCGGCCTTCCCGGGATTGTCTGTTGACAGCCTACCGACTGTTAGATGAGCTATCGTTCATGAATGAATGTATCGAACAAAGTGACCGCCTTATCCGTCACTCACGTTAGTGCAACCTAATTGTTCGCTAATTTATTCTCAGAAATGGAGTCTTTGTGTCAAGTGTGTTACAAATAGAGATTCAGGAGCAAGGTGCGTATAACATTTATACTAAATACATATACATACATATTTGTGGATCATTGTAATTGTAGTGTGACTACTACGACATGCGGTTTTTTATGTATATTCTTTAGATTCTTCACCATTTGTTCGTGTTTTAGTTACTAGTTCTTTATTGTCCTGAAACAAAGTTTGCGCTACAGATAGCTTACACATTACTTTTATTAAATTTTTGAACGTTTTTTTTCAACTTTTTCCAACTCTTAAGAGTAATTTAAGTTCTACGTAGGCGTATACGTTACATAGTAAATACGTATTCTACACGTGCTGTCTTTGCAAGTTGTGGATGTAGTTTGAATGTTGGTTTACTTGTAATCACAGGCCTACAAAAAGAATTTTCTGTCCTAGAGATCAGACCCAACTTTTCCCATGTATTTTGACACGCTGAAATCGAATTTGGCAAACAAAATTTTTTTGATGCGTCAATTTTTCTCTACAATCCCCTAAGGGGGAAATTTTTCGAAACAATTTCTATAAGGGTTATTTGGGTCGCTGATCACGAATTTGAAGTCAAAATTGAATTTGGCATAATGACAGCTGTCAACAAGCTGTCAAATTTCATGAAAAATATAAAAAATCAATATTTGGAGCATATTATTAAGTATTTTTGAGCTGCTGACAAGCTGTCAAATTTCATGAAAAATATAAAAAATCAATATTTGGAGCATATTATTAAGTATTTTGAGCTGCTGATCACGAATCAGAAGTCAAAAATAAATTTTCACATAATAACAGCTGTTAACAAGCTGTCAAATTTCATGAAAAAAGATTGGATTTCGGAAACATGGCGTTGTAAAGAATCTTCTAAAAACTGGACGTCCGGCGACATTATATGAAGATGCACAACTTGATGTGCTACTAGAAATTGAAAACAAAAAAAAATCCCAATTTAATGAATTTTTGTTATTTGAACTTTAAGACTGTTTTTCTCGATTTTTTTTCAAATAATAACATATTGAAAATTGTATACGGTCGGAACCGGAATAAAAACTACTACCAAAATCAATAATAAAAAATATAGGTTTTCATTTAAAAAAAAAGTCGATGACGTCATAACGTCATA